TTAATCAGACATCATGCACACTGGCGGGAAAATAATCCCTCGCTTATTGCTTGTGTAACCGTGTTCTGGCTTTAGGGAGTGGCGTTCTGTAGTGACGGCGCTGGGAGGTCATGGAGACTCGTGCATCTGCAATCTCTACTGGGGAAACGGTCTGATAATACTGATGACAATGATCTGAGGCCATTATCATTCCATTCATTAGCTGAATTCTGGCTGAGCTTGAAAAACTACTGCTTTGTGAAGAAGTCACTGCAGCGGTGTAATCTTATTAGCAGATGAGCATCATACGTCAATAACACACACATTGTAGGATTGGTTTGTGATGCTGTTTCAAAACCTACAGCTCCTCTTGCTCGGCCTCTAGTGGTGTTTGGTATTTTAGGATTTATCAAACACACACACTGACATGCAACATGTTTGTTTGGCAGGGATGCAACAATTAACATATGTGCACAGGGCACACACATACTCGCACACACACTGTTTGGCTCACGTTGTATGGTTCAAACCAGGGTGTGTTCGAATAACCATATGTGTGATGGACTGGTTTAGCTCTGTCTTTCACATTAGGATTTACACACATGCACTTTTTCTGTTTTTCTCTTCCACAAACACTGGCTCAGAGCAGAGGAGTAGTGTCCAGAGCATGGGGCGTTTGTGCTGAGCTGGACTAGCCGTCAGGTTGAATAAGCGAGCAGACAGTTGATTCGCCATAGCCATTCATCAGCCAGAGAAAAGAGAGGAGGGGAAGAATGGAGCTCTCGCTCAGGGCTGTGTCTCTCAGATACGGGCCTGTATATGTGCTGCTGTTTCTTTCCTCTGAAAGCTGGCCGTCTTTGTGCGTGTTTTTATGCCTATGCATGTTTTTACGGGCACACGTGTTGTTGCTTATTTATCGGTGGCGTGCAAACATGTCTCACAAAGATGTGACATCATTTCTGCAAAGACTTTCCTCAAGCATATGGCTAGTAATTAATCATTGATCATTTAATTATGATTTAATTACTTCAGCAGTAGTATGTCACAGAAGTACAGTACTAAAAAGGATAAATAATATATTTTGCTAAGCATATTTGCTCCACCGTACTGTGCAATTTCATAAAGCATATGCTATGGTATAATGTAAATTCATTGGTTTTAGTTTTAGTAAAAAGCATTTTTTTAACCCTACCAAAACTTTTGGGTCAGTACGTTTAAAAAAAAAGTAGAAATGAATACCTTTATTCAGCAAGGATGTATATATAATTATTTTTAAAAATGACAGTATGACATTTGAAATGTTACAAAAGATCAAATAAATGTTTTTCTACCTTCTATTAATAAAAAAAAACCTTGAAAACAACTATTTTCAACATTGATAATAATAAAAAATGTTTCTTGAGCACTGAATCAGCATGATAGAATGATTTCTGGAGGATCATGTGACACTGAAGACTGGAGTAATAATGCTGAAAATTCAGCTTTGCCATTACAGGAACTGCATTTGAAAATATGTTCAGATTGAAAACTGTTCTTTTTTACTGTATTTTTGATCAAATTAATGGCTTGGTGTGCATGAAACATAACCACAAACTTTTGAATAGTAGTCTATTTATTATTATTATTGTTATTATTTTACTTTTCACCCCTGCTAATATTTCAGTGGATTAGAAACAGGAATCATTACACAACAACAATAGTGACAAAAAATACTGTGGAAAGTGACTTTAATTCAGGTCTATTCTCACACAAAACTTTTGTATGGAAGACTTGCAAAATAGTGCATGACCATTATAGGGTGTCATCTGTCCTATCTGGAGCTTGACTATCCCCTGATCATAATAAATTCTCATTGTGTAGTGATTTTTTTAAACATACTTGTTTGAACTCTGCTGAAAGCTGCGCTGAAACAGCGATACGTGAGAGTGACTAAATGCTTTCCTTTAAGATGAGTAAATCGATTCAGCTATGTTGAAGATGCCTACATTATACAGTGTATGTAACCACAGATGTGTATTATGACAGCTAATCATAACCACTGTCAGCAACTATAGGCGAAACGTATTTTTGAAGAACTCGAGTTGTAAATCTGGTTTTATTCCTACTGTATGTAACGTGGTCAGGCAACAGTTAAGTAGTGTTCATTGTGTCTTCATTTCAGAAACACTGCAGAACAAAGGAGCCCTTCACCCTGTGCAAGCTGTATCACTAAGCTTTACATTTCAGCTGAATAGAAACGTTTGTGCTCTTTCTAGGTTCAGTTTTTATCATATGACCACATCTGTACTCGCATTCCTCATTACACAGACTTTAACTTTGCTGGACTTGACATTTCGTGTAGCATGTCCAACCAAGCCCGTTTCTTCTTGGCTCCTCTCGTTCCTTGGTTTCAAACCTGGGGGAATTACTTTTGTTGTAGACACCAGAATATTTTCCGCAGTTTAACATGACAACGTTAGCCTCAGCACCTGCTATCATGCTCGCAAGTGCAAACATGCACCAGGGCCCCCTTTTTTATTGCAGCTGTAATCAGCAGTTGATGGTACCAGGCAGGATCTACTTCGAAATGGGACCGGGAGGGACTTCCCTTTGTCTTCCCCAACCAGACATGCTTCAGACAGGCCTCTAGCGTAGGATGGACCCCTTCATCCAACAATGGCCATGTTGGACTCCCCGCAGCTCAGAGGAGGTATAGACATGAGCTACTGTGACAGTTCTGGTGCGAGTGGCACAATGAGATTGTAGTTTAGGGGGATTTGAGAACTACCAAATTGTTAGTAAGATAGGAAGCCCAAGGAGTTTCGCAAAAATGATGGATAACAAGTGAGCTTCTTCAGTGATAACTGTGATTTGTTCTTTAAATCATTTGGAATAAAAACAAAACGCCATTTGCACATTGAGTGGAAATCAAAAACTTAATTTAAGCTTTGTTTTGTTTCATTGTGCTTGTTTTAGGTCAGATTATGCATTAAAAAAAAATCTCAATGGTTGTAGTCTTAAGGAAAAACAAATGTTTAATCTGCTGTCCGTCACATCACAATAAGAACAAAAGAGAATTGAGCTCTTTTATCTTCTCTTGTCATTATTGATGCCTGTTAGTGGTTTGGTAACTGTCTCTGTGAATTTGGACAAAATGCACAATTTAGTTTAGGATTTGAGTGCACACATGCACACGGACACACACACAGCGCTCAATTTGAAAAATGCACTGATCCTGCATTGATGGAGCTACAAGATGAGATGAACTGTCTGGGGATAAGTAGGTCAGCAGAGCTGAGGTAAGCCCTCTGAGAACAGCCATGTTTCAATAATAACCCCACTGCTGACGTGTGTATATGTATGTGTGTGTTTGTGTAGTGTGTGTCCTTACACATCTCCCAAACCTATTGGTATCATAGCTACGGCGATTTAATGCTCAGCTCATTGGTTTGCCAAACAGCAAAACACTATTCATTACCAGCTCAGCATGTTCAGTTATTATGCGGTTAAGCACCTCATCCATTCCATTGTCATAATGGCTACACTGTTTACTCGCTACCTAACATACAAAATCAAATAATCAAAGAAAATAAACCAGATAAGTAGGCAAACATTGGATACAAGTCAAGATAAATGGATGATGGGACCTCTAGGAAAACTTCCAATTTCCTAAACGTCTCTTCTTTAAATTTCTTACCTGGCATTTTATAGCCCAGCAAGTTAACTTACCGTAAAAGATGAACTGTGTAGAGATGTGTGTTTTTAGTGCGTTAGAATGTGTGTGTTTGTGTGAGGGGGATGCTGGGCCAGCGGTGAAATGTAGTTGGTATATAATGGATTATTGATTGTTGAGAGAGAGGACCAGCCCTCAGGGTTCATCCCAACTGGCCCCTCTCTTGCCCAACACTGAATAGTCTCTTTACGCCTGAGCACACACACACACACACACACACACACACACACACACACACACACACACACACACACACACACACACACAATGAATTTAGGTCTGTGAGCAGACAACCACTGTTCATACTGACTATGAGAGGAGACTAACTGAGACTGTTGTCCTTCAGTCAAACACTCACACAAACACACACAGACAGACACAATTATGGGGAGGCAGGGGTAAGTTGTCACACAAACCTTAAAGTCTTGACTAAAAAAAGAAAGAACTATTGATCATTTCCACAGTTATTGCCCAGGAAAAAAGAGTTCATTGAATATACATTGACCTTGATAGTGGGGCATGTTGTCACACTTACAGTATATGGGGTCACAATGATAACCCGCCATTGAACAGCCTATTATATTAACGGAAATGCCAGGTTGGGTATTACAATAAACATTTTGTCAGTCAGCATAACAATTTTTGAAGAATGCAAAAAAAGAAAAGAAAAAAAAAGGTTTGCTATGTTTAGATTTGATAGAAAACAAAACAGAATGGCAGGAAATCCTGATTCTGGACTGGGGTGTGTATGCTTGTTGGAATATGTTGCAGTGTATTTACTGTATCTGTGTTCATTGTCTTGTTGGAATAATCAGAGAGCCTGTTGGATAAGTTAGTGAGTTTTTGCAATACTTAAAGATGTGCCGTTCCCTCTGACGCCTAAATGAGGACATCAGCAGTCTTTCTCTCTCTTTGTCCCTCTCCCACTCACTTTTAAATGGTGCAGAGCATAAAACCCAATGTACTATGTCCTCTGTTTTTTTTTAGCTAGATGCAGTATGGATCCTGCCTTAAACGAATGGATTTAACTGAACAAAAGACTGTCAGATGACTATATAAAAGGGCTCTGTTAGCTGGGGGTCTCAAACACTGGGTCTAAGTTTCGAATATCTACAGTTTTAAGAGCACTTGATTTATATTAAGAATCATTAAGACAGTAATTTTACACAAAAATATGCATAGTGTACTGTATGTCATAGTAACAGCTTGTCCATTGCAATGGACTAATGGATTAATGAATAACCTTTATTTACTCATTTGCAAGTCATGTTCTCAAATCTGCTTCTGTTGTGTTTCTATTTTCTCTCAGGTGACCAGAATGAAGCAAACCCTCAGCTGTTAAGATGATTCATTGGAGAAAAAACTCCAGACATATTCGAGACAAAAGCAACACTGTCAACACAGAATTACCAACAATGACACGTCTGACAAAGAGAACTTTTACCCAGACCGAATGACTACAGGCGAGACAGACTTAATAGGATCTAATAAATTGGACAACAGATAGCAGCATAGTGGAATATTCAAGCCTTGAGATGGAGGTGGAACGGCCGGAAGTCGCAGAGGAAGAGACCTTCTCCAAGGGTGGACAGGACAACCCGGATGGCAAGAAGAGCCGGGGTCACACTTGTGAACTCTGTGGAAGAAGTTTTCCTTTCCTTAGTTCCTTGTCCCAGCACATGAGAAAGCACACTGGGGAGAAACCATACAAATGTCCTCACTGTGATCACCGCTCAGCCCAGAAGGGTAGCTTAAAGACCCACATTCGCAGTCACAAACTGGAAGGCCTCAGCCAGAGCACTGGCGGCGAGGAGGAAGATGTAGATGAGGAGGGGGAAAAGGAAGGAGGGGTGCCAGAAGATCAAGGTGGTTGCTCCAGTCCGACTGAGAGTACCTCAGCCTGCAACAAGGTTGTGAGCGGTGAAGAGGCGACCAAAACAAGGAAGAAAGGTGGGAAGAAGGAAAGAACCTCCGGTGAGAATGGCAAACAGTCAATGCAGTGCTCTCAGTGCAGAAAAAGACTGTCAAGTCAGGCAGAGCTTGAACAGCATATGCAGGAGCTTCACAAGGTCTTCCAATGTGAACTGTGCCCTTATGAGACCTTGCAGGAGGACCAACTGCAGGATCACATTGAGAAGGTACATCCTATTGAGGAGGAATCTGTCACCAAAGAAGTCTCTACCAGCGAGGAAGGTGACGGTGTACTTGGTAAAGGCGAGTTCCCTTGTGAACAATGTGACCAGGTGTTCACCCAAGCCTGGTTTCTGAAAGCTCACATGAAGAAGCATCAAAACAGTCTGGATCATGGTTGCCGGATCTGTGGGCGGCGTTTTCGTGAGCCCTGGTTCCTACGGAGCCACATGAAGACGCACAACACCAAGGTAAAACCAAAGAGTGACTCTTACCTTCCAGCTACTGTCAACGAGGTGGCGCAGGATGAGTCCAACTTGGTGAATGAAGTGTGTGTGTATGAACTCTGTGCCAAGTGTGGTAACTTCTTCCATGACCGCCAGAGCCTGCACCTGCACGAGCAGGTCCACAGAAATATTGAGCAGCCTCCTAACAATACCTTCTGCAGTGAAAAGGACTTCACATCTGCCACCAAGACAAGCTTCTTGGAAAGCCTAAACTTAAAACCAGCAGGAAAGGAAGAGAACCCCATTGAAGGAACTCTAGGGAAAAGAATTCCAGAGCTCGATCCAGTAAGTAGCTACCAGGCTTGGCAACTGGTCACCAGAGGCAAACTGGTGGAGGTATCTGAGAAGAGCCTGGGTTGGGAAGAGAGGTTAGCCGATGCAGATGTAGCATACGACAGGGGAAAGGGCGAGTACATCTTGACCAGACAGGACAAGCGGAAGAAATCACTCGATGCCACTGTGAGTATCCCAACCAAGAAACGGAGAGGGGCTGGAACCCAAGGCTCCAACACAGATCAGCACAGCAATGGAGAAACAAACAGCCAGGTCCTGACAGGTGAGCGAAGCCCTGAGAATCTGAGTGACTCAGAGTACCGGCCTACTTCTCGTCCTAGCCGTAAGAATTCCCAGAAAACCTCAGAGTGCTTGGAGTGCGGAAAGGGCTTCCGCACACAGCAACAGATGGTGATCCACATGCTCATCAGACATGGTGGCTTGGGTGAAACCATTGGTGGAAATGGACTGTTCCGTAAAGCAGCTTCCAGCCCATCTAAAGCAGGGGAATCAGCAGGACACTTCAGGGATCAAAGACGGACAGGGTTATTTGGGGACACAGGTAAGGGCATCTTCCTTATTTTGAGATGTAATGCCAGTTCAAAATTTAAGTGTAATCTTAGAAATGTGTTTTTAGTTTGAACATTTGTTATAACTTCAAGCATCACTTGAGTGCATATCATAACCTCCGTTCTGCCTACCTGTTTGTAATAATGCCCAATGCAATGCTGTGCAGATGCTTACATAGTTTTTGCCTTTATATTGAATTGCTGATGTTTACATTCACCACAAGGAATTCAATTCCATCATTTGAATCTGTTCATGGGTTACCTATTTACAGTGTGTATTGTACACCATGGGTCCTCAGTATTGCTACTATAAATCCACTTTATTGTAGAAATGTCCTTTTCTATCCCTGTTCAACACCTTTTTAAGTTAACCTAAAGACCTTGATTAGTTGTTTCAGTTGTGTTCGATTAATTTACAGTTGGAATGAATTTTACTGTGACAGTGCTCCAAACAATGTGTAAACGTCACAACTGGTACCTGATCAGAAATTACACTGGGAAGATTAAGTAAAGGATTACAGTAACATTTATGAAGCAGGTTTATCTGCTGTAGTCACCTTTGAAATTACAGTCAAGCGCTTTTATAGTTATTGATCCTACTCTTGTGGATCCACCTTCCTACAATGGTGTAATCAAACACACTTAAACCAGCGAATCAACCAACAAACAACTGAAAGGTATTTTAGACCAGGTACCAAAGGCAGATCTCCAGGAATAGGATAAGAGAACGGCTGGTTTAACAGATACTGTATGATGTACTGCTTCTGAAGTAGGACAGAGACACCTTGTGGACAAATACTGCTGCACATTTTAACGTGTTCAGTTGTATTGTACTGTTTGTGCATAGCTTAAATCTTCAATACATAATTGATTTCAAATAGAGAGCATGTTCGTAGATTTCAATTTAAGAATTAACATATTTTAAGCTTTATGCACAAAATCCCCATCACATATAAAACTATTGTGATTTCCATATGTAGTACCCATAGTTTGTTTTACTCTTCTGCACCAAAGCTATCATTTAAAAAAAAAAAAAAACTACATTTGTTGTAAAGGACCTCAAGACAGTTAGTTATTGACTATAGTCAAAGGATTGGGGAAATTTAAAAAAAGAAATACATTTTAGTCTCAATTGTGTAGCACTTGTTCATACACTTTACATCTGTCTTCAGACTAAGTGAGATATTTGAACCATAGCATAGTTTAGTTATCAAGGTGCAAAACCAGGCTCTGATTTGCTCAATCTTTTGCTTGTAGCTGGTGGTGTCCAGCCCTCTTTGTATGATGCTATTTCTGGACTTCCTGCCTCAGGAAGACAAGCTCTAAAGATTTGTGTCTTTTTTCCACTTCCCACATCTTAATGCAGACCTTCAGTTAAAACACAACACTAAACTCACTCAAAAATACTGCATATGGCAGGTATTTCAACAAAGCCAATAAGCCCCAGCACTGAATCTGTCCTGATGATTGATAAGTCATGTCAAATTTAGTGAAATTATTGGGTGTATTAATCGTCTATGAAGGAACAGATTATAGATCTGAGAGATTGGCCCCGTGTTACCACAAGGTTGAGAAAAATAAATTGCCTTAAACAAAAGATGCCCTCTTAGGAATTAACACAGATGGAATGTTCCAGAACATAGGTTTCATTGTGTAAGAGTTAAAACAGATGTCCAATCACTGCTGATATTTTAATGAAGGTGTGAAGACTATAGAATGGTCTTCCACACAATTGATCTCCTCTAAAAGATTCATTATCATACCACATTATTCTTAGATTATGATAGTTCCTCTTGTAGCTTTTGTAAGGCAGAAAGAATTAGTGATCGACCGATATATCGGCCGGCCGATATATCGGGCCGATATTTGCGTTTTTTACGTGTATCGGAATCGGCCGATATGCGGCTGCTGCGTTCGCCGATAGTTTTTTCCCGGCATTATTTATAGACAGGCGTCCACAGGCAGCTCTGTGCTGCTGGAGACGCTGCAGTTCACGTGCAGACCCTGCACTGTCCCTCCCCCACTAGCAGAGTGCAACCTGCGCTTCAAGATAACGGTAACTTTTAAACTTTCAAAGCATCTTTTAACTGTTTGACTGCTGAAATATTGTCAAACACTTTGAAAATGGAAACACGTTGCTTTATAACTGTTATGTGGTTGCAACTATATAGCTAAGCAAGTTTGTGGGTCCAAATGGAAAACGCGAATGACTCGTCTATAAAACTGCTTGCTTGCCATTGTATTTAGGGAGCTGCAAATAGCTGTAGGCTATCCGTTCAGTATGCATTAGGGCTGTCAATGAATATTCTAAATACGAATATATATTCGAATAGTTTAAAAAAAACTGAATTTTGAAGGTGAAAATTAATATTCGAATGTGGAAAAACACGCCCGCGGTAGCAGACTAACGTTACCACAGCACAGCTCGCTCGGAGCGCTCAGTGTCGGTTCTATGTTCTGTGAAACTTCAATTAATGTATTTGTTTCAATCACTGAATGAAGCCTGCTATATACCTTAAATTGCTTGCACAAAACTCTTGATCAGCACTCAACATTTGTTTGTTGTTGTTCATTTAAACCGGTATGCGCGGAGAGCGTGAGGGTGAGTGCGAGAGAGAGAGAGAGAGAGAGAGAGAGAGTGCGCCTGCGAGTCCGGGCGAGCCAGAGTGAGCTCTGCGGTCTTGGCCATTAGTTGATTTACTCGTTTTTTTTGTAGTAATACGTTGTCAAATATGTTTAAACTCAAATAAGCTACTTAATACTATTAGTTATGTCTCTTTGTATTAATTTGTCCTGTTATTGACGTAATGCGCGTCATTGACCAAATGCACGACGATATGCTCAAGTATGTTTTTTAGAGGGAATATACAAACGCCATTTGAACAATTTTGACAGCCCTAGTATGCGTACGGTAGCTGTTACGAACACTGGTCATAGGATTAAGTAATACCAACGTTGTTCCGTGCTTTTTGCGACCACCTGGCTGAGGTTTGGACGCGTGTGGTGTGTGTCTCCCTTGCCATCGCAGTGATATTAGAGACTAGACATGCTCATTTTATTTTATGTAGACAAATTTAAACCATGGCAGTAAATAGTTCGTTACTTTTAAAATGAAGTACAGTGTGCACTGTGCACTTTATTATGCTGGTTGCTACTGTGTGCAATAGTGTAATTATTTTATTTATGCTTAAATATTTATTTTCAGCAGTGAACTTTTTTTTGTTCTACCTCATGTTTTTAATATTTGTTAAATATTGTTTATCTACTTGTTCTTGTTCTACCTCACATGTTTTTACTATTTGTTAAATATAGATTTTTTTACGTTAAATAAATCTTACTTTTATTAAATTGAGACCTGTAACATTTGTTAACATCATGTCATTTTTATGATGTAAATTGAGGGAGCAAAATGTATCGGCTCCAAATATCGGCTCAAGAAAATCGGCAGCCCGTATCGGTCATCGGCTAAGGCTGATGGGGAAAAAATCGGTATCGGTATCGGCACTAAAAAATCCATATCGGTCGATCCCTAGAAAGAATTTAGGGAAGCAGTTATGGCCATTACGTTTGTGTAAGGTTTATCTCAGCGGACCCCCTCTCCGAATTGGCTCAAAAGTAACCTCAGAGAGAGTGGATTGAAGGTTGCACAGCAGCTAGTGTAAGCCACCAAATGGAATCCAGATGGCTTGAGAGAGAGAGAGAGAGAGAGAGAGAGAGAGAGAGAGAGAGAGAGAGAGAGAGAGAGAGAGAGAGAGAGAGAGAGAGAGAGAGAGAGAGAGAGAGAGAGAGCTACTGAGAGATTGCAGACATGTTAAATGTAAACAAACATCTTGCTGACAGATGAGGAGAGGTAGTCCCAGGCAAAGTTCCCAGGCCCAGTAGTCTGTTTCTCCATTGTACTAATGTTAAACAAACTGTGTGCGATTGTGCTACCACCATTAAGTTTTTTTGATATTGTGTAACTATGTAGATTATTAGTTAAATTTATATGTTATGCAATGCCATAAACATACTCATTAAAGAGTTTTTCAATGTCACACATTAAATGTTATGTTTTATTAGACATAATATTAGAAAAATGTCTTATTATTATCAATGTTGAAAAGTTGTGCTTCTTAATACTTTTGTGGAAACGAATAGAATTTGATTATTGAAAGCATTTTCTATCATTATAAATGTCTTTACTGTCTCTTTTGATACATTTAATGCATCCTTCTTTGATGAAGAAAAGTTAATTTCTTTAAAAAAAAATCGAAACATTGTGTGTGTGTGTGTGTGTGTGTGTGTAATATATATATAAACACTATATAAAACTTCTGTACAGGATTAGAACATTGTACTGTAAATTTACATGGTTATGTGGTGCCATCTTGTGGTGATTCTCTAAAATAGTTTTCACTGTCAGTATCTAAAATCAGTGTTATTGTGATTGCTAGCTTTTATACTTTCAGAGACTTTTTGCTATTGTTATATAGTTACAAATCCCTGTATGTTGTTTTCATGACAGATAAAAAGCCATACACCTGTGAGCACTGTGACTTTTGCACCTCGGAGCCCTCGGCCATCGCTGCCCACGTCCAAACACATCATTTGGCGATTAGGGACTGGGGCCAGAGGAGTGATGCCTTAACCAGCTCACTCAGCCAAAGCCAAACTCACCAAACGAGCCACACAGGCTTCCCAAGGCTGAGAAATGCCCTTCTGCAGCAGCCCTACTGGCCCTACACCACCTCAACTCACCTGGAGAGGGCAGCACTGAGCGACGCCGCTTCAAAGACGGAGGATGAAAAGAGCAAGGGGTTGAAAGAAAGTAGCTCCACTGATAAAGTGGATGCTAATCTGCTTAATCTCTCCATTGAAGTGGATAAGAACGAAAAAGAAGGGGTTTCTTCAACATTTTTGAACAGTTTGGTGAGACACCAGTGTCCTTATTGCTCTTATGCAACACTGTATCCAGAAGTTCTCTGGATCCACCAACGAATTGCACACAAAGTAGACAGCACTACGTTGGTGCCTAAGTGGGCCCCAAGGAACGGCCTCAAGGGACCAAAATCGCTTCTTGATTTCAAGAGACGCACCGGGCCACCTCCGTTTCTGGAGGGTAAGGACTGCCCGTCTCTGCCACAGATGAGAGCTTCCCGCACGAGTCCACCTGATTGCAGCCCTGGAGGGACAAAGAAATCAAAACCTCAGACAAGTAGCATAGAGTCCAGCTCTTCGCAAAGCAAGAGCTGGCACGCGGCCACAGCACCAGGGGCACAATCTCACTCGTCCAAACATAAGACCAGCAAGTCCAGGACGAGTGAGTTGGCAGGCAGTAAACACAAAGCAGACGTCCATCAAAATAGCTCATCGCGGCTCATGGCAAGTCCTCAGAAGACTGGAACCCCAAAGACAGGAAGCAGAGTGATGGAGAGAAGTCTGCTACCTCAAGAAGGACTTCATTTTATGCTCTCTAGCAAACACAACCTCTCGGATCAGAGGGGCTCCAAAGCCCATGCTCCTCAGACCCCTGGCAGGTCGGATTCTCAAGCTCAGGATACACCGTCCGTGGCTGGGTATGACCCCTGGAGCAGACTTGGCTCGAGCGGCCCATCCTCTCACTCCCAGTCCAAGAGACAGTCAAAGGCTGATGGTCCAGAAGCTGTGTCGGACATCATGAGTTTCTTGAAGAACTGCAGTCCTCATGATTTAGCTGCCCTCTACCACCACTGGGGCTTCAGCAACGCCATTGCAGAGCAAGCAGGTAAGAGGCTGTTAATGGGTGTTTGAAAGTATACCACTATGATAGGATGCTGTTTTAACTGGTTTTTTAAATTCCATTAAGCTAATATTAATGTACAGTGGCCCCAAACAGTATTTGGACCCTCAAAAATGTACGAGTTCACAAAAACATAATACCACTACTTCTACTACTAATAATAATAATACAGTTTTTTTTTTTTTTTTTTTACATGCAATTTGGTCTGATTTTATGATCTAATGTAATGACACATCAGTGCAATGATGATACATTGAGCATGTGTATAGGGATTTTTGTGTACTGGACTGTACTTTACTTTAGCCTATTTCTCTTCTTCTAAAACTTGATTACTAAACGTGTATCAAGGAATCTTATCAATTAGCTTTGCAATGGGATAGTGCACACTGGACTTCCATACTCTTAAATCATCAAACATGGCAAGATGTGCATTCATTAAGCCAAATCCTACATTTACATACATCAGTCAAGAGCCGAAAACCTTCAAATGTAACTACAGTTGTGGATGCACAATCATTTACAGAAATTGTTGAAGGTAAAAACTATTCACCTTAAAAAAAGAATGATCACAATTATTAGTATAAGTTTTTTAGTGACCAATATTAAAGCTCCAGTCCGTAACTTTTTTAAGTTAAAAATAATCCAAAATAATTACTTTAAAAAAAAAATATTCTGCCAGTGGTCAAAACTATCTGCTTGCCATAGCTAGATTCAAAACGGTTAGCTTGTAATAATGATTTTAATTCCAGTGGTACTGGTGGGTTTCCGCGGGAAATTCGAGCATGTCTTTGCGTCATGACGTCACACCCGTACACATAAAGAAGGAGTTTCGGCTAGCCGGCTATACTGCGCGTGACGAGATGTTTAGATGTATAGGCTTTTCTCGCAGCACTTTACATAATTAAACTTATGGCATCCAGAAAGATCCAAACAACAATCATCAGTGTCAACTGGAGATTCAGCAGTTATAAAACCCAAAAGACTTCGTACTTCGGATTTAAGGTGGCTAGAGAAAGAGAAAGAAACCGTCTCATGCGAACACAAGGATTTAAACATCGGCGGGGCTTTTAAAAAGTGCGTGAACTCCGTCTTTTGAAGGGGTTCAAAACGGAAGAAGAGACGGCTTTTTTCTGCTGAACAAGTAAGACATTTCAATAGTTCAATCGTGTAACAGTACGTTTTCTTAATTCACACAGTTATGGAGTTTCCTTTGTTGTGCCTTTCTCGTTTTGCTATATGGAGAATATGAATTCTGAACCACAGGTAGCTGCTAACCATAAAACACATTAAATTTAACATTAGTCACGCAATGCTGATGTTGTTAACATGAACAATTTGAGAACAAAGTAAGCTATAATTTGCACGGTTGCTGTAAATCGCGTTGATTAAATCTAACGAAGCTTATCATGTCGAATGCTTTTTCCCCCTTAGTTGGTCAGAACAAAAATGGATTTTACTTACTTGTTCAGAAGACATTTTCTTATGAAAATTCTTATGTTGGTCAAACTTTCAAAAAGTGAATCTGTGATTCTGTATGACAGTATCCACACAGCGCGGTGACTGACAGCAGCACTCGCCTCAAAGCACTGTGTTCATCCGCGCTGTTTCTTGCCGACTTACAACCCACATAAAGATAATAATTCCGCGAATCACTGCAGTTACAGATTTCGAACAGAGAGATGGCGACAAAGAGGAAAAGATACGGACTGCAGCTTTAATACCTAGAGAGCAGGGTGGCCTATAAAGTCAATATATACACCACAATATATACAATTGAATAATATAAAATAAGATGTACAGAAACTTGATAAGACACATTTGTTAAAAATTTGCAAGTAAAATATAAAGCAGTTGTTTACTATTTGTAATATTATCCATTGGCAAAGATGTTTGCTATTTAGAAGGGCTAGATCTAGAGATATAATATATTGGTATGGGTATTAAAGTTTTTTATTATTATTATTACGTATTAGTATCTGTCAATATTGGATATTTATTTATGCATGCTCATTTCGCAAATTTGCATTTTAATTACCTTTGCCATCATCTGATGCTCACCTAATGTTAATCTTTAACAACACTAATGATTTAATAACACTTTTATTGGATGCAAATGAAAATCCATTTTTCATATCATACATTATAATGATGTGATGCCTAAATTCACCTGTAGCATTAAAAACAAATGATTTTTAGTTTGAAGTGTTTCGTTTTTTGTTTTTGAAGTTATTCAGACAAATGTTTTAAGTGTCAGAATTATTCAAAATAAAACTGACTTCACAGGACCATTGTAACATTGAAAAACAAGTAAAGATTGGCATGCTGAAAACTGGTTGTCAGGTCACAGTACCTGAATTATTCAGCAAAGGCACATTAACTACATTTACTCCTGAGCTGAAATGACAAATGAGAACGGTGAGGGCTAAAATGGCACGTAGCACCCCACATGCCGTTGTGCCAGCATGCGCATACGCAAAGGTTAATGGAACTATTGAGTAATCTCTTCATCATCGTGTAACCTACGAAAGTGTGTTAAAACATTTCAGACAGCTATCGCTGAGAGGCATTCCGAGCCTTAAACATCACGCTCGTAACAGCACGCCGGGCGCTTTCTGAGGGGTTACAGCGCCTCGATGCCACAAATATGCAAAGTAGCCAACTCAACGAGTGAATGTACGAAAGAGCAAGAGGAGTCAAATTAAGCCACCAGCTGCTTTGAAAAATATTTTCAAATGCTTTTTTTTTTTTTTCATTCCACTTCATTTAAGGACATTTTGCCAGGCGGTGGTCCAGTTGGCCGGCTTCAGTGAGTGTAGTTCTGCGGAAAGACAGAGAAAATTTCTGTCAACTGTCTTGCCTGATATCATCAGCGCTCTCTTTAGCCCTTTGAGTCACATACAATAAAGTGACCTTTCCAATATTAGACTATCCTTTTGTTTGTGCCGTCCGCTGCTTTTCCTGTTGCGTCGCTCCTGTATGGTAATAACTCACAGACTCATGTTTACTAAACGTAGCCTTGCTTACCACTGCCACCAACACTCTAAGTCACGGCTCAGCGCTACGACAAAGCTTGGCCCGAGGGGTCGGAGCAGGTAGGACCACCAGTGCCAGGTGACGGACAGGAGCCAAAGGGACAGCATTTCAGCTCACGCTCTTAAAGCGCCCTGAGGGGAAACGAATGCCGGTTGCTTCAGGTTCCACATCCGTTCCTGTTACTTCAGCGAGTCCTTCACCGACGCGCACGTGTCCGAGCAATTCCCCTCGCACGGACGAGGGCTGACATAGCTAGAGCGACGGGCAGGAAAAGAGCAGTGAGAGCGAGAGGGAAGGAGACAAGGAGAGAGGGAGGAAGGGGAAAGCAGCACACCTGACATGTGACATGGTAGCGCAGATGGGGGCACATCACAGGGCAAGGCTTTTAATTCACTGTAATTTATGCGGTCACATGGGCCTGTGTTCATGTCAGGCTGTCAGAGATGCTCTTGTGATGCGGCATGACAGCTCCCCATCCAAGCCCTGAAGGTAGCCTCCCATAATGACACATAAAACATACTAATGATGCTCTCTCTCTCTCTCTATCTCTCCGTCTCCTAACCTCTCTATCTGTTCTGTGTACGTTCGGCTACATGTTTTTCCTATTAATTTCCATTTCTCTTTCTCTGTTTGTGTTTGTGAACTGTAGGGTTGGCGAGGTCAGGGTCTCAGCAGGGGGAGTATGTGTGTCCGGTGTGCAGGAAGAGCTTCAACCAGCCCAGCCATTACCGCACACACATGAGATCACACACAGGTGAGATACACACACTAAAAACAAACGTTGGGAAGCAACTAACTGAAACTACTAACTACTTAACTTTTTTTTTTTATTAGCGTCTCCAGTCACAAAATACCTTTTCCTATTAAAAATGCTGTTTTTGTGTCACAGTTTTATCATTATAAATGTAATAATACATATATTAAAAATGATAAGATACTTTATGCAATAAATTGTAGTGTAGTGCTATTAAACACTGCTTTTAATGTTACATTATATATTCTTTATCATTGTAAATATATTTTATATAAGATACTTTATTATTTTAATCACTTTAAATTTTTTCCTTATAAATATATGAAATATTACATATAAAATGTGAAAATGTATAAATACACCAAAGTCAAGTTGGATTAGACAGAAGTTGCTAAATGATTCCTATATATTACCATAAAAATGTCATATATATTTAAATGTGCATGTATGCGTTTATGTGCAAAGTGTGTGTGTATGTATAACGAGCGATTTCTCTCTGTCCTTGACCGAGAGTCTTTCTTTCTTTCCGCCGCAAACATATTTGCGTGTGACTCTGACCTGTGAAAATTGTATACATTATTAATCAGATGTCACTTATGGAGCTGTAATTGTGCATGCTAATAAGCTGAGCAGTCACCAGTCCAGTATGATATGTGTCAAATGCTCACTGAGAAAATGTGACAGTTTGCCCTTGTCTTCTCATCAAACCACACACACACACACACCTACTCAATCTGGGGTCTTTTTCATTTCATCACAGATAAGATTCTATCCGTCATCCTTGTTCAACAACAAACTTTCATACGCCATAATAAATCTATAATGAGGTTGTGTGCCATTGAATGTTTACATAAACAACTAGGGGCTTGTTAGGATTTATTGTCATTGTAATCTTGTTTCAATCTACGTTCTACAAACAGAAATCACCTTTGCTATTAGTATTTAGTACATTTACCTCCATTTTACTAGGGGGAAAGCGCTATTGCACATCATTAGCATGCACTGTAGCAGCTTTTTAATAATATAAAGATATCATGTTCCATTCTTAGCAGTAAAAAAAAAAAAAAAGAGTTTTGTTTTGAAGACTGTGTGAAGGTTGTGTATACTATCCAGACTGATCCCCAGTGACAGAGGCCAAATGCTACATTTTGCGAAGCGCTCTCTCTCTCTATCTATGCACATAGACTTACAATCTACGTCATCAGTGATTGCTCTCTTCAGTGTGAGCTTCCAAATGAAGCGGGGCAGGGGCCCCCGGCCTCCATTAGCATGCACACTAACTCTGTGTGTCACTTTAAATTGGTAGTTTCAGTTCACTGTCTGCCACGGCCACGCTAACTGGTGATACTAATTCAAGGCCTTTACGGCTAATGCTCGATGAGAGGGTGGATTCTTGGTTTGCACCTTTAGTGCTTTTAAAATGGATTCCTGCTTTGAGGATGCTCAATACTTGGTTCAAATTTGACCAGGAAAAGAAGGAACATCATTAAAGTCAACGTGAAACTTTGACGTGCCAGTAAAACAGGGTATAAAAATATGAGAAAAAAAGTGAGATAAAAATATATTTTTTATTTTTTCAGCCCAATTGATTGGGCCGTGAAAAGTGGTTTATATATTTCAGAAGGAAGACTTTTTTTAGCAAGACTATTTATCCAAGCAGGAACATATGATTAGAACATAAATCAATTTTGATTTTGTATTGAATTTTTACAAGAACAATGTTTACACCCTGCTGGGTGACAATAAAAGGGAACAAGTTCCAATTTTTTGCAACTTTTACATTTGATTTCCTCTTTTTAACCCGGCCACCTTGCTCCCACAGTGATGTTTGAGTCCAATGGACTCATGGGAACTGGAGTCCATCCTCTACAGAAGCCCCCAAACAAGTATGTTCCACTTTTCGTTCGGTTGTTTGCATTATTTGTGTGTTTCTTGTGTTTTTTTTTTGTCCTGTCAATCATTTCTTCACCTTTCTACATTCTGTGATGTGCAGTTTCAACCTGCTTTCGTTGTTACCATGCAGAAAAGTCTAGAAATAAGCAGACGTTATGGGATCAAATGGATTACATCCAGCATCCACCTTAACAGTCGGAGAGGTGCTTTGCTGCAGCGGGGAGGCCCACCCTTAATGAATTGCCCCCTTTGCATGTGTTGCATATTACAAATGGCAAAAGCAGGCCGAGAGTAAAGGTCAAATTAAATTTGTGCCGCCCTCTCGGTGATGCTCTGACAATAACCTTTAATGTAATTTGGCGAGTTCTGTTTTGGATCGGGGTTTCACTTTCTACTCCTCTAGGGAACCACGGTGCCCCTGGATGAGCTCTTACTGTGCCGCAGACCTTATCAGGCAGCCAGCGCAACCCAGCCTCAGATAGTCCTGATTAATTGTGTCTGTCTTCATTTTTTTATGAGGCATGATTTATGATAATACCCCTTTTTCAGCCCCTCGGAATGACAATTATTTCCTAGTGGATAATTCATTCATTTTTCAAAAATAATAATACGGAGAAATTGAATGGCAGACTCATTTGTTTTGCTCAGGTGTGGGGGGATATTTTTATGCGATTGCGCGAGGACAACGTTGTACATCAGTCTAATTAAACGCTGAAACTGGGACTCTGACAATTATTCCAGTGTTGAGCCCCAAACAGACATGGGCAGAAGGAGAAACTAGGTCTGTGTGTGGTTGTCAAGTTCGCCTCTCCTTGCAAAACTTGATATGCCCAGACTTTCGACATCTACCATCGGTGTGACGTCTTATTGCTCAGGGGAAGGCAGGCAGGCAGAGATTCCTGTGTCTGTGAGTTTGTGTGTTTGTACGAACAGCTGACAGAAACAGAAAACAAAAGGCTGACGTCCCCTCGGGGGGGAACAGTCAACCGTCTCCATATGGCATGTCATCAGCCCATCAATCATGCCACGGTCCCTCCCCCCACCTTCCCAACCTGCCTCTGTTCTTTCCTCTTGAAAAGGGAAGGCAGCGCTCTCAAAGCCAGCCCTTCGACATCACCGCCACGTCACCTTTCTCTCCTCTCTGGTTCCAGAACTCGGATTCGCTCTCACCTTCGGGTCCAGGCTCTGACCTCATCTTGTTTTTTGTGTGTCCGTTTCAGGTGAGCGACCTTTCCAGTGCCGGTACTGTCCTTACAGCGCCTCGCAGAAAGGTAACCTGAAGACTCATGTCCAGACCGTGCACCGTCTAGCCTTCGACAACGCACAGTACCCAGACAGGAGACTCCGCCAAGCCCCTACCAATGAACCCACGGACCCTTCCGGATCTCACTGAACATCCCCACCTCCTCACGACCAGCTCAAATGAAGAATGAAATCTATAAAAAGTCCATCAAAAACTGTTTGATGCACAAATACGGCATTCAAGGAAGACTTTGTGTAACGTACGGCATTGGATTTGTTCGTGTTTTTAGATTAGTTTGATGGGAAGTGTTTCCTTTTTTATTTTCACCTGACACAAAGCTCTAGATTAAAACGAAACTACGCAGAACAGGCCGACGACATGTTTGCAACATGTTTACACACCTCCTTTATCCAGAACTTGCAAAACACTTGAGGGCTAAAGCCTTGGCAACACGAGGTCAAAGCTGATGGAGTATGACAGTGAGCTGCGTTTTCAAACCCAAGGACTTCAGCTGATCCCCTAAACTTGAAATGCTGCCTCCGAGTTCCCCCGAATGACTAGTTGTTCAACAAAATAGCCTTAGTCCGCAACGAGTGTAGTTTGTGCGTGTGTGTGCGATTGTGTTTTCCACATTCTATTTCTCAGGACTTGAGTTAGATGAAATTCCAAAGCCTGCATTCATTCACACCAGTGCATAATTGCACGCGAAGGAGACATGCAATGAAGTTCAGTACTTAAGTTTGAGTTTTGCTGATTATAGGCATATATAATATAGATGTGTGTGTTTTGTCACTGGTTGGACAAACACTTGGCACTATAATCAAAATATGTCCTATAAACACTTTTGTATTGTGCTATACCTGGGATTTAAAGTATTTATGTAAGCGCAGTTGTATTGTTACATGGGTTTCTACTTGTGGATAGTGTCATATTCATAAACAACCTTTCTGAAGAGTTTAAGGTAAAGACACATGCCATATTTTACGTTAGTGTCATCTGATTGGTCCAACAAAGTCAGGAATATTATTTGTCTGCGCTTAATTTTCAATGTGTTTCTCCTTTTTTCCATCAAATATGTTTGCCTCAGTGGATTATAAATAATTGTATTTCAAGAAAAGAGAAAAACTTAATTCAATGGCGCATCAGGTCTTAAAGCCATGTTAAAATGCTGATGTTCTTAATGAAGGATCTATTTTAATCTTAACATGAAGAGTTGCAAGTTGTCTGTATAATCATTTAAATTATTGCATCATAGAGAGACTAGTAATTAGAGCAAGACTAGATTGGGGGATTTTAGTGCGTTTTATAATGCTACTTATAAAGCTTTAGAATGCCATATTTTTTAGAGTTTGAAAACTTAAAAGCAAAGAAATTCTTGTCCATATATTTCTATGGATGTTGTATATGGTAATTAGGTAGCCTATTTACAAAATACAGTCCCACACAGCTGTGTACTTTTAATTGCATTTAGAGTCAAAAATGAACATTTATCTAGAGCATTTATATTGCCTAAGTCCTTGTGTTGGAAACTAAGCCAAGAAAACTGATCCTACATTACAAATTATGTTTTAGAAGATCCTCCAGTATGCATTTGTATTGATGCTCAGCAGTCAAACTGTAACATGTTGCATGTTCTAAGCAGTGGTGGTGACCCAGGAACTGAGAGTTACTGAGAACAGTTCTACCACCATTGCCCTTGAGCAAGGCACTTAACCCTTGGTTGTTCTATAGGGACTTTATGTTCCTGCAATTGATGTCTTGAAAGTTGCATAGGATGAAATGTGACTGCTTAATTGTAATTTACTAACAGTAAATCAAGGAATCTTTTAAAATTGGTCCTAGGACACAAAAAAAAAAAACATGAATAGCTTTTCCTGTTAGCTTTTTACTAAATTACCCCTAAGTACTAGAGCAGAAGACCTAAGAAAACTAAATAGCATGTTATGAATTCATTTGCAATTGGATTGTTTTTTCTTTATGTAACACTATTAATTTTGTGGTTTGAATAGAAGTAGTAGTTGAATGTATGGAATGTATTTTGTGTGTTTAAAAGTTTTCTTTTTTCTCCTCCACATATATTTTGTTCACGTACACAAAACCTGTCAACTGTCATCATCACATCATCTCCATCTCATACATTGTCAACTGTTGAAGTTTTGAACCACTTAAATTAAACTTTACCCTTACCTTTGGTCTAAATGGTGTTAAATATTAAATGGTGTTAATATTATAGACCAACGGTTTCCAAACCTGTCTTGGAGTATCCCCAGCACTGCACATTTTGTATTTCTCCCTCATCAAACACACCTGATTAAAACCATCAGCTTATTAGTAGAGACTGCAACAGTGGCTGCGTCCGGAATCGCATACTCTCTTGAGTAGGTACTTATTGTGAATAAGCAATTACTTCACGACCGCCGCTTAAAAAAGTACGTCCTATATAGTATGTATAATATATATATATTAGTAGGGAAGTATGCAATTTTGGATGTAGCCTGTGATTGTCTTATTATTGGCTCTACCATTGGAGAAAGCGTAACGGCCAACTTGGATCACGTGTGCCTTGATAACCAATCACATTCCAGCCTTGATGTCATTGAATTTTGTTCAGAGTTGTGCGACAGTCAATTACTGTTTGCGGATACCATATAATTTAATGAGAAGTGCCATAAACTGAATCATACCTGTCGCACAATTGTCTGTGATTTCTCTTATAAAACAGCTTCTTTTTTTTCTCGATGTAAACTCAAGAGATCAATCCAAATGTTTAAGAGCTAACATGTTGAAGAGTAGGCCTAGATTAAAAAAAAAAACAGCCTCTGGTCCCCTTCCCTGCGTACCACAGCATTACGCTATTTTTTGCTTACCTTGGAGGCTTGCCTTAAAGTGGCTTTGACTGCAAGACCTGAATTGGGTGTGTCCGATAAGGGAGACCTGGGGGTCCTCCAGGACAGGTTTGGAAACCAGTGATCTAGGCCGCTAGACCACTATCTTTGGGACTTTGACATTTCATTCGTAGATGATTCTGACTTTTTTATGACTCATATTTCATTTACTAAAGTCAGAGCCGATCAGCCCTATACGCACACTAGCCTACGCAAGTTGCGTAGGGCCCCGCAAATTACTCAAGGCCTCGCCTCCCCCTCGTGTCAAAGTGCGTCAATCAAAGTTTACAACATTCATGAGAAAATTAAGTGGAATTATCCTTCTGGTCAAGAATAGAGAGGGGGGAAAAAAACACAATGAGAGTGAATTGCCTTAGACTTGAGGTAGACTTGTGTTCTCTCCTCTCCAAGTATGATGTCAGCAAAGAACAGTAAAATTAAGTTGATGTGCATCTCTCTTTAGTCTGTCTGTCTAACCTAGAAGCAGTGCATCTTTTGGTCTTTCTGTGTCTTGCTTGCTAATGCCGGCCACTTCCAGGGCTGTGTTCGGTGACTGTGCCTGACAAAAAAAAAAAGTGAGGGTGAAATACAACTATTTATTACGTTTGATAAACGACAACGGGCAACGGTGTTTGTTTGTAAACTGCAGCTCGGAAAAGATAACCGGGTCGCGCGTTAACATGCGTTCATATGCTCGTGGCACGAAATGAAACGCGCACTTTCCAGCAAAACATCTGTGGGGACCAGTGATGGCACTCCTCATTAGGCGCACATACTTTTAAAACAAAACAATGATTATCTAGTCTCCAAGTTAGTTTAGTTACAACTCTGCAATAAAGCAAGATGGAAAGCCATTTATTGACATTGACTATTGATTTATAGGCTATATTCCATTTAAAATGTTGATTGGCTGGACATACTGGTCAATATGGATGCACATCCCTCAGTAAATAATAACAATCAGGTATCAAGTATTGCTTTTATCATTTAAAACACAGTGACATGCTATGGCAAGCCATTTTATCCTTTATTCATTCATGATGCATTTTTGATATCAATAATTCAATTTGTACTATTTAAAATATGAATTCTTGTTATTAAGAATGTACTTTTTCTAGTAACAATGTCTATTTCTGATATCATGAATTAGATTTTCATTAGTACAAGTTAGAGGAGGGAGGATTGTAGTGGGAGCACTGGGGTGTCAGGTGTGACTGTGTGGCAATAGCAAATGGTTTACATGGGTCAGGAGGGCCCCTTAACAGAATTTTGCTTAGGGCCCCAGGAAGGCCAGGATCGGCTCTGACTAAAGTCTTAACTTTTTGAAGAGTATGGCTGCTCTGCTGGCTTTAAAAACTGACAGTAAGAGCCAATAGCATTCGAGTTGTGAAATAACATTCACTAATCGCTGTTTTATAACTAAACAACTGAAGGAGAGGGACAATTTTGCTGACCAATTAAAGAAGAGGAAGCATGTAATGCGCTTAATTTGCCACGTGTCATTGTAGTTTACAAATGGAAAGATGATATGTGCAAAAATGAATGATGACCAAAATTAAAATGATGTAAGGACGTTATTGAAACTTATTAGTCTTTTTCTATAGTGTGATATTTTATGTTGCTTAAACTCTTTATATCTACAGATCTTCTAAGAAACACCACAATTTTAGGTAAAGACTTTGCTCTTCTGTCATGAACAACTCGCCCTGTGTCTGAATATGACTTCTTCCCTACTATAAAGTAGATGAAAGACAGTTTGTAAAAATAGTAGAATGTCCAAATATTCATAAAAAAATAGGTCTAAAGTACTCGGATGACCCACTAGATCTGCTGAGATTCCCGAAGTGCACATCTAATGGACACTTTACTATCCCATGAGGCCACGGGAGAGGAGATCTGAATGGCAGTGAAGCAACGCAACTGACGTCATAAGTCACATGATGGTGACATCATGGCAGATGTACTAATTCCGAATTCAATTCATACTACACGCATTCATACTATGTAGAACACACTTTTTTAATGGTCGCAAGGTTAGTTCTTGTTAAAATGTCGTACCTACTCAGTGCAATGCATTTTTTTAGCAACCAGATTCAAAATATTCAAGTCCCTGGAAAGACTCCCTGTTGCGGGTAGCTATAATTCTATATTAATTTTTGTTAATAGAGGCGTTGGGTAAAAAAAAAAACCCACTTGCAAATGAGTGGTTGTTCTGAATATATTTCTGTGGCAGGGGAAACACTGCTCTAGACAGCAGATAAAAAGTCAATGTATGCACACTGTCATCCAAGATACTGCATTGCAGCGTGCAAATACTGTAATCTACTGTAAAGATTCATCTTTACTATTTGTGTAAGTGTTAAATGTCTAAAGCACCAAATTATAACATGGTCTAAATTGCATTTTACTTAATCAGACATATCTCTTTCTCTCCCTCTTTTTCTCTCTGACCTCTCTCTGTCGTGTGTGTTCACTTACATTAGTATTGAAGTCCTTTGCATTGAAATGGCTGCTAATTGCATTGATCTCCTTTTGTGCATGCATAGCTACTGCTGCTGTTCTGTGCTGTGACAAATGACTTGGGATTACATTGCTAAACAACTGGAGGAGTCTGTCTGATCTACTAACCACACAATAGACCTCTGACCAGAAACAAACCTCTGTGGGGCGCTGTTCAAGCTCACAGTTGAACCTACCCAGTCAACACATATATGAATGTACATTTGGCATGAAATGGGCTGAAAAACTGGGCATTATATAGGATTGTCCATGGGTTCCATAATGGCCCCGTGCCAATTGCCCACATGGATTTCATACAGGATTGCACTTGCCACTAGGTGGGTCCCAACTGGACAACATGCGCAAGACCCATCTTGGTCCAAGCGCTACGCTGCATTCACATGGAGCATAGGCGTCAACGCTTGACGAAGGGCGTGTCTGAAGCTTGGTGCTGACCCGACCGTCATAGTGACAACAGCCAATCACATTACTTTTCCGGTGTTGCATAGGGAATCTGATTGGCTGACGCTTGCGTTTGCACTTGAAAAGTTGAACATTTTTCAATTCTGCCGTTACAACGCGACGGAACCCACAATTCAAACGTCACCCATTCAAAGTAAATGAGAAGCTTTAAAACGCCGACGCCTTGTGTGAATGCACTGTAAGGGATTGAAATGGGTAAAAGCAAGACATGACAAAGTTTGTCATGTCTTGTAAATATATATATTCAAGA